AATCTTTTTCACCATTGATGTTGTTGCTGTCACCAGAAATGTTGTTGTTGTTGTTGATGACGAAGACGATGATGAAACAAACTTATAAAGACTTATATAAAGACTTATATTTAAACAATAATTAGTTAGATAGACCAATGATTAACAGAAATTATCTTGAAATTATTTTACCGATGGTGATGATTGTGATGACAATAATAATAATAATAATAACGCGATAAAAAGTGAGTAGAATACATAGATACAAATATATATACATACATAAATACATGCATAAACACATATATACGTATCTCAATATGAAATATGAAATATACATTTATATATACATAATGCAATCACCCACATACATACATACAACATACATACACACATACGAACATACATGCACACGTACACACACACACAACAATAATCAACAAACGATTAATTATAAGCGAAAAGGGAGAAAAGGTTGCAAGAATCAATCAAAATTTTGACCAGTCAATCAATCATTCAATCAATCATTCAATCAACCAGCCAATCAGCTTGATGATGATATCTTAAAGATACTGACAACAATGGTGATGACGTCATAATGGGGTAATGAGATGTGTATTTATAGTTTTTGATCAGTTTTTTCCGCCGGCAAACTATTTTTTGTTAGAGTATCAAAAAAATGTTTTTTTTTTAAATAAATAAATAAATGAATAAATAAACAAATACATAAAATTCGTGGCTCTTCTGCATCATTTCAAATGAAAATCTCATTTGAAAGTTTCTCCAAAATGTACAATCTACTACATACACATTCAGTTTCAATTGGTCAAATTATTTCAACTGCACAATCTGACAACTGATACCATGATGACAAATATAGCTAATTAATCAAATTAATAAATACATACTAACGCCGCGCGCCCACACACACGCACACACAAACGCACACATACACGCACACAAACACACGAACTAACACACAAACATACGACATTACCGTATGTACAGTTGTTTGTCTTTGAATCTCTGCTGCAATGGATTTCCCTCCAACATTATCTCCTCCAGTTTCAGCTTCTTTATGCTAATGAGGTCTGACTCTGAAGTCAGCTGTGGGAGAGATAGAGTGAGAAAGTGAGAGAGTGAGAGAGATGGAAAGAAATTCAAAAGAAAAAGAATGACGAGTGAATGAATGAATGAATGAATGGTTGAAATTTTGATGAATGGCTGCAAAAGAGATAGAAAGATAGAGAATAAATAATAGAGAAGACAAATTTATAGACAGATGAATCATGGATCATAGATATACAAATAGGTAGATAAAGAGTAGAAGAATAGAGAGAGAAGGAGAGAGAGAGAGAAAGAGAGAGAGAAAGAAAGAGAGAAAGACAAAAACACATACTAACTCTGTTTTTAGCTAAATTTAGCGACATCAAATTTGGAGCTTTTTCTGATAATGTGGATAGAATTCCTAATCCATTCAACTCGTTGTCACTTAAATCTAACACTTTAATCTGTACACAAATATGTATGTGTTTGTATGTATGTATGTTAAAACCAAATCATTGACGAATGACACCAAAAGCCAAGCGTCTGACTAAATTTGATTTTATTTGCTATAACGTCACTCAACCCCGTCGGCATTCAACTCCACATTTTCCAACACACAGACGCGCAAAAACCGCTGCAGAATGCACGAGATATTATTCATAGCAAAAAAATATTCCCTACTATCGCCTGACCTAACACTGATATTTTTACAAATCCGATTGAAAAACCCGGAGGTGTATGTACGGAGGTGTATGTATGTATGTATGCATGTCTCTATACAGTATGTGTGAGTTTGTCAAACATTAACGAGACAAAATTAACAACAACAATAAGACAACAACAAGACAACAACAAGATAAATATCAATAATAACAAAAATACTAATTATTATTACACTAATAAAAGCTATAATAATAATAATAAAAGCTATAATAATAATAATAATAACCTCTGGAATATTCTGTGCGATGATGTCCAATACATTGTTTATAACTTTAGGCCTCATCATCATCAGGTTGATGTTTTGGCTCAGAAATTCTAACGTGGAAAGTTATTACTATACTTATAATAATAATAATAATGAATAATAATAATAATTAATAATAATAATAATAACAATAATAATAATAATAAATAATAGTAACCAGGGTCTTTAGCAAATGAAGAGAGATCCAGAAAGAACATTTCGGCTTTATACCTCCGGCTCATAACAATCTGAGGTGAAAAATGAATGAATGAGTGAATGAATGAAGAAATAAATAAACGAACGAACGAATGAACGAACAACAAAACATTACTTTCATCTTTTCAACAACAGCAGAGTTGATATCCGTAGGCGGCATAGCACACGGTCCCACCAATATTATCATCTGAATGAATGGCAACAACAACAATAATAAATAATAATGAAAAATAATAATAATAATAATAAATAATAATAAATAATAATAAAATCCAACCTTAAAGCCGTTAGGAGTTGTAATTCTTTTGCTGACTCCTTTTACAGCCCTGGCCTCCTCTGTGCCTTTTATGTTGAAAGTGGCCATCTTGTTCTCATAAGAGAACTGTTTTTCGGAGGAAGACAGATTAGGATTAGAGTAAATTAGGCAAAAATTAGAGTGGTAAAACATAGATGACAAATTTTTAATATGATAATAATTAGACATGGACCGAGAATGCTTGCAATGAAGACATGCATCGCATGCACATTACATGAATTACCCACTATGACTTAAAATCAATAAAGCAATCAATTTTTTTTTTCATGGTAACTCAGTTGGCTTTCTACTCACATTCCACGGCATCATAGGTGTCTTCAGTAGGCCATTGATGGATTTTATTATGAAATCTTTGTCCAGGTCCTTGGCGTGTGGTATCTGGGATATTATTATTATAAATTATGGTTATAAATAATTATAACGTAATAGAATAACCACCATTATAAATTATCACCATCACCATTATTATTATTATCATTGTTTATCATTAATACTAACAGTAATTTTGTACCATCCTGATTTTGAGAATGGAATTTCATTGTTAGATCTGGCTCCACCCCCACTTCCTCCTCCTCCTCGACCCCCTCTGTAGCTGTATATATATATATATATATATATATATATATATATATGTGTGTGTGTATATATATATATATATATATATATGCGTGTGTGTGTGTGTGTGTGAAAAAAAAGAGAAAGAGAAAAAAGAGAGAGAGAGAGAAGGTGAAACAATGGTAAATGAATGGAATATGTAGAGACAGAATCAATAGACAAATAATTAATAATTACAAATTATAACACATACTTTCCTCTACCTCGACCTCTATAATTATTATTATAATTATTATTATTATTATAATTATTATTATTGTTATTGTTGTTGTTGTTCAGACCACTACTGCTGCCACCTTCCATGGAGACATCGTCTTCCATAAGTTTTAAAAGGCTAACTAAAATAGAAACAATAAAATGAATTATTATTTTTATAAATGAATTTATTAGTTAATGGATGTATAAATTATTGGAGATATGTGTGTGCATGTGTTTGTGTATGTTTTATGTCTACAATGTAGACATGTAGACTCTACTACATGTATGTATAATTGGCTAAATGTCGGGTTTGTAATGTGTATTGTATGTGTATGAAAACAATGGTTTTTAATAACATAAGTATGTTAAGTTGTAAGTAAAACTGATAATCGGACCTGGGTGGTTGCTGAAACTTCGAAAATTATTGCCTCTGGACGAGTTTTTGAATGTCACTCGACCAAGTCTGTTACTATCTGTCAGTCAGTTGGTAAGATAATCAATGTTTTATTTAACACATATTCTGTTACAGTTACATCCATGTTAATTTAATACAGTTAATTTAAATTAAATTTAAAATTACAAAAAACACAAAACAGAAACTTTAATTCACTTTTGGAGTTAAAAAACCCAAACCACACCAAACCAAACCAATGGGAGAAAATCCTAATTCACAATTTTTTTACGAAATAGGTAAAATCCGACAAAAGTACTAAAACTAACTTTCGATGTGTCTCAAGCCATCCCTCGTAACGATTCGAAGACATTTTCGCGACATTTTGTTCTCACTTTTGTCACTTTTAAAGCTTGAAATGCTACGATCGTGTATTGACTATATTTATTTGTATACAATGACCATAATGAATGGAAAGTTCAGCGTAACATGCAGTTTATAAGTTTGTTAGGAGAACAATTTTTTTTTTAAATTAACAACTGTTCAATTTGAGAGTTTGCTTAAAATTAATAATTTTTCAATTATTTTTTATTAAAAATTTTTTAAATATTTGGCTTTTTATTTAGTCGCAGATTGAAAAATTCTTATTTTATATTTAATTACCAAATTAAGTGAATGAATGGTAAGTTGTATTAAAAAATGCCTTCGTGTCATCATTAAATAACTGTAAAATGTCAAAAATGACTAATAAAAAATTTTTGGATGATAAAAATGGGCATATCCACACAAGGCAAAACAACCGTATATTGACTTTCCCGCCGACTTCGTTTCGCCATCCGAAGTCTTCGATCACGTGACTAAATTGCTGGCGGATGAACTGAATTTTCTAAAAACTTGCATATTTTAATCTTTCACTAATTAGGGCAGTCTGGGGGAGATTAGTGAAGTTAGCACGCGTAATCCCTGACACTAATCATGCTTGTTTGACTTTTTATGACAGTTTTACGGGAAACCGAGCTGAAGATATAAACAAATTGCGTGCAGTGGCGCCATTTTTTACTTTTACGAATTATTGACATTTTACGAGTTTGATTTCTGTAAGTCAGGGGCAGTTTGTGAGATATTTCATTTCAGTTTACGTTTCAAAAGTTGATTTTTATAAAGATTTGCTATTGGTTTAATTAATTTTTTAAAAAGAAAGTTTCCTTTGAAAATGAACACTGAGGATATCAAACCGAACATTTGGCTTGATCTGCAGAACAATGGTAAGTTGCCTAGCGGCGTTTTCGCGTCAACCTTATGTTAATTTAGTTGTGAATTATATATTATACACTAACTAATTGTTAGATGTATTGTTAGGATTGGCCACAATGTGTCAAGTGGCATTTTGTATTTCTAACTTCTAGTCTAGTATGAGTGCTAGTTGTTTGTGTTTGTTTTTTTATGTTAAGTCTACTAGAAGTTTTTAAAAACATCTGCCAGAAATTTTTAAATTTATTGACAGTCATTACTTTTTGTTTCTTCCTTGCTCACTCCCTTTAGTTTAGCTTTAGGCTTTAATAAATTTTACATTTTTTTAAAAGGTTTATCTCTGTTAACATGTTGAGTAAATAATGAAATGTTGTAATATCTAATTTCTAATGAATCTTCTAGTGCTTATCCAATCAGTAATCTTACTTACATTATATATAATTTTATATTATTAAATTAATTGATATGATTTATCATTTGTCATTCATATAGATGAATCATAATTTAATTTAAATTATGTTATCATTCTGTTGTTATTGTTTATTTTTGTATTTGGTGATTTTATTTTATTCTTATCCCACTAAACAACCATGAAAATTTAAAATAGTGATAACTGCAGCTGGGCAAGCTTCCACACCAACCACATGTAATGCAGAACTCACAAATTTCTATTCAGACATTGGCCTGGAAACGATGGCTCGAGATGTAATGAACATTTTAATTTTTTTAATAATTATTTTTTCTGGCATAATCCTAGGACAGTGCCTGCAATTGAATTGTAAACAAATTATTTTCATGTAATTAAGTTGTAATTTGTATAAAAAATGTGATAGGGTTTCTTTTTAGATTAAAATTTATGTGCCCGGGTTTAATCGTTTGCACTCACTCATTCATACTTATCTCTTGTATTACAGGCACGGTTTTAGGGTTTTGCCTTGTTTTTTCTTCTACATATTCATTATTGTACAACTAACCTTTTTTTCATTGGTTTTACAATGTTTTGGTACATTTTTTCTCCCTAAAATTAGGCGGGGGTCATTGAAGTTGAGGTGGCCACTCAAGCAGAAGTTCCCCAGACACAGTTACCTCAACAAAAAAATAAAAGTAATTATTTCTAATTAATTATTACTTATTTTTCTTCACCTTTTTATATTTAAATAAATAAATAATATGATATGCAATTGTAAAATACTTTTTTAAATTGAAGTAATTCTTACCACTGGAATAACAGTAGTTTCATGTGTTTGGGGAAAATGAAATGTGTATTTTTATGTGTTTTGTTTGGTTTTTCAAAAGATCCAGCTTTTTTCCTCTATCATCTATTGTATCTATTAAATTTAACTTTTGATGGCTAGCTTACAAGATCATAGCAGTGCAAGTACCATCAAAGAACCAGGGTCAGACCTACCAGGTAACCCACGCAAATCACCCAATGCCACAAATACTACTTGCCCCAGCACATCTTGTTAGCATGTGTTTTTCATTCATTTAATAGTGCAATGATAATGTAAGTAACAGCCGCCAGAAACACCAGCCAACCCACCATTCGCATTTCCACTCACCCATTATAGCAGCAGCCCCACATCGAGATAAAGAGTGAGCCCATCAGCACATATCCACCACAACAACACCACCACCAACTGCAGCATCAGCTGCACCACCACCAGCAGCAACAGTTTCAAATTATATCTCCTAGGACAGCTACGACGACAACGGCGACAAACAGCTGGCTACTTCATAATGCTGCCTCTGCTAATAATAAGAGAAGGAATCTGAACGATTCTGTAGAATCTTTTCTTCCTGAAAGGTCATTTTGTATCTTTGTTAAACCCTCATACATGCAGTTAATACAGAAGTGAGCATAGTTTTGAGTAGTTACTCATTCGTAGACTTGCATGCATGCACAATCATACAAAAGCAGACCTACCTGCATGCATACACTCATACATACAAACATACACACATATATGTATATACAAACATGCACACAAACAACAGTGGTAGAAGGCGGAAAGGTAGTAACAGTGGGAAGGGCCTTCGACACTTTTCTATGAAAGTCTGTGAGAAGGTGCAGAGGAAACAAATAACCTCTTATAACGAGGTGGCTGATGAACTCGTCAGTGAAATTTCTGATGAAACTGGAGAAGGAGAGATCAGTGTTAGTGTCTGTTTGTTTGAATGTGTGTGCATGAGTTTGTTTGTATGTGTGTGCATGAGTTTGTTTGTATGTGTGTGCATGAGTTTGTTTGTATGTGTGTGCATGAGTTTGTTTGTTTGTACTGCTTGTAGAGTTTCTTTGTAGTGTTTTGCTTGTCTGTAGAGTTTGTAAACTTTGAAAAAAATTTTCTCTAGATTTTTTGTGAATTTAATCATCATTTTGATACATAGTAATAGAGGTGTGGCTAAATAAAGAAATGTAATAATAACACTCCCGTTTAACACACACACATACACTGACACAGACACACACACATCTAACAACAAGCAGCAGATGGACCAATCATTTGACCAGAAGAATATCAGAAGGAGGGTATACGACGCGCTGAATGTCTTGATGGCTATGAACATCATCTCAAAGGAGAAGAAGGAAATCAAATGGATTGGCTTGCCCACTAACACCGATCAGGAGTATCAGATGCTCGAGGTCTGCGTCGCTGGATGTTGATGTTGTCACGATGAAGTTGATGTGTTTAACGTGTTGACATGTGTTGAAGTGTTTGTAGACTAAGTTGATGTTGTTGTTGTTGCTGTTGTTATTGATGGCTTCAACATTACAGTGTTGTGTTGTTAAATTCCATGTTTTTTCTGGTTCAGCAACAAGAGATGGAGATAATGAAACGAGTTCAGGATAAAAAAAAACAGCTATCTGAACTCATAATACAGGTGTGTCAGTTTGTGTGTGTGTGTGTATGAGGGAGAGGGAGAGAGATATATGTGTCTGTGAGAGAGATGAGAAAGAGAGTTTCTTGAAGAATGATTATATTAATTTATTTATCTATATATTCTCATCAGCAAGTAGCATTTAAGAACCTGGTAGAACGAAATAGGCAATTAGAGGAGAAGAATGAAGCTCCTCCCCCAAATTCAACCATCCAATTACCTTTCATCTTGGTCACTACATCCAAAGATACCGTAATTGAGTGTAATATATCGAGTGATAAGTTAGTTCAGTGATTGGTTGGCTGGTTTGTTGATGGTGTATTGGCTGCTGGTTGTAAAATTGAATTTATTGACTGGTTAGTTTGTTGGTTTTGATCGATTGAACAAACACAATCCTATCCCAGATCTGAATACTCCTTCAAATTCGACCGAGTCTTCTCAATTCACGACGACATTGATGTACTTAAAGCAATGGGTATGGCTTTCAACTTAGATAAAGGTCACTGCTTGAAAGAAGACTTTGAGAAGGTTCTCAAAATGATACCTAATGCTCTGCACCCATTTGTATACGGTTGGTTGGTTTGTTTGTGTGTTTGCTTGTTTGTTTGTTTGTTTGCTTGTTTGTTTGTATGTTTGCTTGTTTGTTTGTGTGTTTGCTTGTTTGTTTGTGTGTGTGTGAGATGGATTTCAAAAAGACGCCATTCCTTTGTAAAGTTGTTATACATTGCATTTCAGTGTGTCTGTCTTTGCCTATATCTGTATGTATGTGTGTGTGTGCGTGCGTGTGTATGTGTACGTGCGTGCGTGTGTGTGTTGTATAAACATTTTTTTAAATATCATTACAATTATTACCACCACCATCATCACTGATAGAGATGGCAAATAGGAAGAATTACATCAAAGTGGAGCCGGAGAGCACGCCACAATCCGGGTAAGTTATCACTTGAACTGCTCTTCACGTACGTACAAACGAATCATTTTAACCTCTCACAAGAGAATATGAACGTTATTAATTACTACGATGGTTTTTAATTGTTGAAGGGCTGCAAAGAATAGCAGTAATGTCGGTAGCAAGAAGATCATAGAATCGACAGTCTATACCGAGTATACTAGTGAAAGTCTCGATAATTTATCCTGGCCGGTCACTTACGGAACCGGTACCGATGTCTCCAGCTGTGCCTCCAGATCAGACCAACCATCTCCCATTTGTTCGGATTCTGATTGATTGGTTCATCCATTGATTGATTGGTTCATTCATTCATTCATTGGTTGACTGGTTGGTTGGTTGATTCATTGATTGATTGGTTTGCTGGTTGGTTGGTTGGTTGATCCATTGATTGATTGATTGGCTGGCTGGTTGGTTGATGGTTGATCGCAAATTGTAACGAAAAAAAGTGAATCATTGTGCATTTTTTAAAACATGTACATTATTTTTCTACACTGTCCATTGTTGCTCTTCAAACATAATACAATAAACCAAATGTTTTGTTATTTCAATTATTATTATTGTAATTGTTATTATTTATATTATATTACTACCGTAAAACGCTCATGTTTTATGACGTTTATAAACTTATGAACGAAAACCATGATATGTTAAGTGGTTAGTTGTTAAGTTTGTGGGTGTGTGTGTGTGTGTGTGTGTGTGTGTGTGCGTGTGTGTGTAGCGTTAGAGATCGTACAGTTATTTATTTACATTTTGGAATGATATATTTTTGCTTTATTTCAGATGAGTATTCGATTTATAATTGCATTTTTTTTTTTCGTTTGTACATATAACTTTTCTTCCTAGTTATGGACTCCCCTACTTCATCACTCCTTTGTACATAATTGTAAAGATAAAAACGTACATACATATACACGTACATACACACATATATATATACACACACAGACAGACATCCATACACACATCCATACATGTTTGTTCGTTAGTCTGTGTGTGTGTTTGTAAGTGTGAGCGTGTTTGTATGTGTGTCTGAAAAGTAGAATTGAATGTGTATATGTACTGTATTTATATATACATATGTTTATGCTCATAAGAAATGTATACAAATGTATGAATATTGATATATGATACATATGTATACATTCATATATGTTTGTGTGTTTTTGTGCAATCTCTAGCCTTATTAATACTTCTGTAATATGATGATTGGGAAATTGAAAAGCAATTTAGACAGAATTGCATCGGTGTTCTTTTAAGTTACTAGTGTTTGAATGTATGTGCTTGTTTGTGTGTACGTGTGTGTGTGTGTGTGTGTGTGTGTCCGTTTCTATATTGTGGATGGGGTATTTGAAACATTTAATCTTTACGTTTTTTAATTAATAAATAAATAGATAGATAACTGAATAATTTCGAATGTATTTGCGATTGTATTGTATATGTAATAACTGTAGTATTGTATTTCAATGTTAAATGAGGGTAAAATGAAATCCAGCGAAAGACGAGTCGTGTTCAACATACTCTCATACAATTGTATACAAATGGCTGTATACTTGAAGTATACACATGCATACATACAAATGAATACAGACATACAGTTAAGATAGTTTAAACTTCAATTAACTTTTAGCATTCACATGTTTACAATTACCTCTTTCGAGTGCATACCTTGATTGCATTTTTTGAAAAGTTATTTGGGGTTGTTTGTAAAACGAGAGAATGATTGTTACTGACGCATAATTATTAACAATCTATAATTATTTTATAATTATTAACAATTCATATTAATTAACAATTCAAAATTTTATCCTGGTGGAATACTTTTTAGAAATTTGAACCAAATAATAAAGTTGCCGGCAGGTTAAAATGCAAGAGCCAAACGAGTTATTGGCTCCACTGAGGGTTGACGACAACGTTAATAATAACAACAACAATAATAATAATATTCATATTAATAATAATCACAATAATTATAACAAGGAAGATAAAATATGCCTGCCAAAACCATGGAAAGTGGCAGTAGTTGTACTATTGCTGTGCGGCTTTTTTGTACTTGGCATCTTAATTGGATCTTACTTAGCGTTAAATAATAATAATAAAACCAACAACAATAATAATAAGATCTATAATAATAATAACAACAATGTTTGTGATGACGGTGACGTCATAATGACAAATAAATACAAATTTATTGATTTTTACGAAAAATTAGAGAATTTTTTCAGAGGACAAAATTTCTTTAACCATCAAATGAGGTCATTTATATTTTATATCCGTATATTATAATGAAAAAGTGAGTTTGTGGTTAGAGTGTCTGGCTGTTTGTGTCGCTGGTACTGGCTTCAAATGCAGGGAAATCTGACTGCTGTGTGTTATTGTTAGGTACTGAAATTCACTGTTGAATTATTTGTAACTGTTGGCGTATAGATTACGAATGAATTGATAAATGATTGATTGAACGAACGAATTAATACAGCGTGGAATAAGCAAATGCATTAACAAACGTCTTTTTTTCAGTTTTTACGCCAAAAACGTCACGAAATATTTACTGAATAAAATACAGCAGATGGATTATGATGACGTCAAGCTAATTATGCAACATAATATCAATAATAATAATAATAATAACATACTTTTTATATATAATAATAATAGTAATAATAATAACGAGGTAATTACATTTAAAAATTTGATGATTACCTCTGAATGGAATGCGGGCAACGAAATCGAAGTAACTTTAACAACAATAATAATAACAATAATTGGAAATAATAATAATAATTCTCATTTATTTCAGGGTAATTTGGAAATTATTGATCTTTCAAAATATGAAAAACTGAACAAAAGTTATCTTGCTGACAAAATCGTTGTTGTAACTTTGGGCGAATTTTTTTCATACAAAAAGGTTTATTCATTTTGGATGGATTGTTTCATTCGTTCGCTCAATCATTCATCACATAATTCATTTATTTTTTCATTCATTCATTCGTTCATCTTGAAAAGTTAGAATGGTTAGCTGAAGCGAAGTCGAAGTTAATCATCATCTGCGGTGATGGAGCATATTATTATGGAAAAAATTTCATGGAATATTATAAAGGTTATTATTATTATTATTGTTACTCTTGTTGTTGTTGTTGTTGTTGTTGTTGTTATATTTAGGGTTATTTGATCGTTGTCTTGTTGTCCGTATAAATGTCTTGTTGCTCCTGTAAATATCTTTGATTTAATAATGAAAATAAACACATCAAAGCAATAATGATAATAGCAATTATCACAGCAAGAACAAAAGAAATAACAACAATAATAAGAAAAGCAACAATAATAAGAACGATAACTTTCACGCAGACTACAGCATATTAAAGACGCCAACGACAGCCATACTCTACGCGAGTAAATATCGAGTGAAGGAATTTTTTCAAACAAACAAAGGTGGGTTTATTATTATTATTTTTATTATTTTTATGATATGATGATGATAGTGATTGCTACAATAATAATAATGATTTTTCTAGCGCTGAGCTTACGAGCTAAATTTAAAATTCTAAAAAACTCGGATGAGAAAAAGTCGTCTAACATAGTTACATCTTTGTTTGGGTCCCAGGAACAAAGTGATAAAATTTATTCATTCATTCATTCATTCATTCATTCATTCATTCATTCATTCATTCATTCATTCATTCATTCATTCATTCAT